AAACATGATAATAAATAAAAAATCAATACAGTTACAACAACATACAAAAAAACACATATGGTTACAAATATGCGGTACATTGACATAACTAACACACAAAAAAATAGAATACAAAATGAATTTATGGATATACACAGATGTAATACAGAATACAATATACAATTCTCATTCTATGTATACCAAAAATACAATAAAAATATGAACTACAAAAATACATACTTGACTAAAACATCAACAGAAGTCAATATAATAGTAAATACATAACCAAACTCATAAAATTTGTTACATTGACAAATAAAAAATACAATAAACATATTAAATACAGAAATACATGCCAACTATAATAGTGAATACAAAAAAATTAGAACTATGAAAAAAATAACTATAACAAGATGAAAATTTCGAATACACTTACAAATGTATATGATAATAGTAAATAGACAATAAAACTTGTAAGCTGTATTACATTGACAACTAATACAAAAAAGAGGAACAAAATACAAAATACAATACATAAATGACAGTCAAAAAATTTTCCAACACAAAAGTACATAAAGACTATAACAGAGTAAACATTCCAAATACACTTTCAAGTTCATTATAAAATGTATTTTTTTCAATCTTAAATATTACTAAACAAATTAAACTAAACATGCAATACACAACACATGCACAAAAAAATTACCTCTTCTCCAAAAAATTGTTCTTCTTCAACTTCATGAATTTCTGTGGGATTTTGCACCACGACAGCTTCAGCCATTTTTCCACCCTCCTTAGACTTAGAAGATGAACCTACATTGTTGTTTATTTCTTGAGTGAAAAAAAAATTAAACTATGTAACTCGGAAGAACTGTGATTTTTTTTTACAATACCTCTAGTAACTCTTTTGAATGCATCCATGAAGAGTGAATTTGTTATTATGAGACCCTAAAAAATAATTTAAGAACAAATACAAAATAAAAAAAATTAAATAAGTAAGTAATCAAAAAGTAATATGAAGAACATAATAACCAACTCAATGTGAATCTCCAAATCAAATCTTCGAACGGAATTACTTGCGAATGATGTAAAATAGGAAAATTCGAGTTTGAAGAAATTGAAGCGTAAATCTGGGGATTTGATGATATATGAATAAATTGATTTTGAAGATGTTGTGTCTGTTGAAGAATGTTAGAGAGATAACCTGCAATTCAAACGAAAATCATGGAAGATTAAGAGTTGAAAATTTAAAAAGATATTCTGAATAACTAGTTTTGGAAAAGGGGTTTTATAGAGAGAAAAAATATTTTATTAATAAAAGTGAAAATAATGCATTGAAAGTTGTTGAATTATCTATTAAAGATGGTTAAGATATGACGTGACAACACAATTAAAAATCTGAAAAGAGAGTGTAAGAGAGATAATGTTACAATCCCAACTAAAAAGATATTCTGAAGAATTAGAAGGGTTTTTAGAGAGAGAGAAAATATTTTATTAATAAATATGAAAATAATGCATTGAAAGTTGTTGAATTATCTATTAAAGAGGGTTAAGATATAACGTGACAACACAATCCCATTAAAAATCTGGAAAGAGTGTGTAAGAGAGATAATGTTACAATCGCAACTAAAATCTGGGAACGTGATAAGTTTAATATTAATAGATATAAAAGGAAAATTTGAGAATCAATGCATAATTAATTTTGAAAAAAAAATGTTATAAAGATAGTGAAAATATTTTATTAATAAAAGTGAAAATAAATTTTGAAAGTTGTGGAATTCATTAGTAATAAATATATAGATATAAATTAATAATAATCTTAATATAAGAGAGAGAAATTTTAAAATATAATTGATATATATATCTAATTACTTAAATATAGGAATATATATAATTTATGAGCGAGAAAAAATGGTGTAAATAAAGAGAGAGAAAATATTAATAATATAATAATAATTATTTATTTTTAAAATAATGACATTTTTGACATTTTTACTAATATTATTAAAGCAAGGACACTATCACAAAATAAGTTGATTTTTTGACTAGTTAACTAAATTTTACCTTTTTTTTTGTCTCAGTCCAACTCATAAATGACCCAACACAGCCCATCAATTCTCAATGCCAAAATAACCCGGCTTCTGTAAGTCTTCTTCCTCAAGAAATCGCGAGAAACAGCGACTCCAACCCAAAAAATGCGTATCAGACGCGAACCCAGCAAAATCATGTGCTCTCTCCTTCTCCTCTCGTACGAGTAATGTACTCTAATTTTCCAGGTGTCTCCATCTCCTAATGAATTCGTCCTTGACTCAAAATCGAACGAATCTCCTCCCCAATCCGTTAGAATTTGGTATGAATTACAGTTCACACCTTATCCTCCAGAAAATTTAAAATCTGAGCTTGTCCCACATCGTTTCCCTCCTCTATTTTCGACCTAGAAGTTGTCTTATAAACATCCTTATTGTCCACTGCTTAGAGAGAGGATTTTCGGAGACCAAAGAGTGCCCATATAATTTTGGGAATTCTTGGTCCCATCGTTCAAAATTTTATAGCGTTTTGTGGCTTTCGAGTTGAAGAGGTGGAGTCGTCTTCACTCGTCATTTTGGTTTGCTGCGCAGTACCAGGTAATCTTCTTGCCCTTTCTCAGTTTCTTCTCTCTGTTGCATTCTAAAGTTGTTATTTGTTAAGTATTGTTATTTATCTGTTTGGATTCAATTTGATCAGTGGTGTGAATGAGAGTGTAAGTCTTCTTAAAGTTAAGTAAATTTTGAAGGAGTTCAAATGTTTTGCTCTGCTGAAGGTTATTTTCCATGTCAATGTGATTCTTTTATTTCGTCAAGTTCATAAATCCATACATGTGTTTTCACATACTATTATCTCTATTCAGTTGGAAATTTGTGCTATATAGTTGTTGTTTTCTGCCTTGAGTTGTTGTGTTCTGCATTAAGAATATCACCTCGCCTTTTGTCAATGCTTGATTTCTCGTATCTGTTTTATAAATATTAGGTTGTGCAACTGCTGTTTTGTTGTATTAAGGTGAAAATTAATTGTTGGGTTGCTTTCTTATTGTCTTCAAAACTTTTGGTTGCTATTGATATGAAAAATGTCCTTACTTCCTACCTTAGCTTCTTTGATCCATAGTTGTGCATACTTAGCGATATTACGTAACCATGTTTTTTCCCCTAGACTTTAGCATTTGACTGCTCTTAGTTGCGGGTTGCTTTCCTTTCTGTTAGATTTTGACTTAAATGCTTCAGGATATGCATGCCGTTTTAATATTTGATAATATGATTTCTTTGTTGTTTTATATGGGTTAGTCTCATAAACCTCTTTATTTTGTTAAGTTGCATGTTCTATACCATCTATACTTGTTTTGTATAGTTTCTATTCTGTGTTAATTCCTGTTGTAGATGCTTAATTTTGTTATGTGTAATAAATAACTACTCACTAGTTTGAAAGCTTTAAAAATGTAAGTTGGGTAATTGGATTCAAAAGTATGATTTTAATATTTTATTTCTTTTCTAATAGTTTCTTAAATACCTGTGATTTGCTCTTCATAATTTAGTTTTCTTAATTGTATCTGAAATGGATAAAAAGCCTCTTGTTTGCTCTTATGTTAGATATTATTCTCTTTTAGGTCTTGTCGATTAGTTTTTTTTTAATTGCGTCGTGTAATGCAAATTATCTCAAGGTTTCTTGCTTCTCAAATAGATGTTGGTCTCATTTTGATTTTTAATGTGAGCTCATTTAACAGTTCCTTTCCATTTTGTGTCTTAAACTGTTTATTTGAGATGTGTAGTCTGGTTTTGAATGTTCACTGGCTTAGATTAATATTATTTCTGATGGATTCTAATTCTTATCTTCTTCTTCCTTTTCCCTACTTTGCATGAGCACTTCGAGTTCAATGGACTCTCCTCCCTTGCACTCGATCCTCTTCTAGTCGACCTCTATCAAGTCTTGAGAGCTAATTTTATCATGTTAAAATCTCAAGAAAGCAGCACCAACAGGGGCTCAAAAGAGCTGAAATGAGAAAAAAAATCGAGTTAAAACCCGTAACTCAACAACAACAATAGCCTTGACCTCAAAAGTCCATTTTTGCAGCAGTTTCAGCAGACTCCAAATGGCTGAAAATGACATTTTTTTCGACTTAAAAAGTTCAAAAGTTGCACCAGCAGCAGCAATTAAGGAGCGGACAGTGGACTTAAAGTTATCCCAGTTCAATTCGCATTTTGTCACCACCGTATTGTGATTTTTGTGATATTTGCTTTTAATTGCTAACTTTTTAAAGGGGAATCCTTGAGAGAGAGATTTTTATTTTGTTATTCAAGTTTCCAAATTCGCAAACTCATCTATAGTTTCGCCTTCGACACTAACTTGAGAATTATCAATATTCTTTTATAGTTAGTATTTAGCTTTCAAATCGACGTTTAAGTAATTGTATTGATCATTCAATTTAAAACTTGACTCGGATAAATTGTTAAGTTAAAATTTTACTTTTGGCACTTTAATATTTGGATTATAATGCAAATGTACAAGTATATAAAGATATCACATTTTCAAAAAATAAAATAAATAAATAAATAATTTCAAGTAATGTAAGTGTTCTTTTAAAAATTAGCCAAATTTAAAATTTGTCGGTCAACCCCGTGTTAACGGATCCTCCAAGGTATCTAAACCCTTCTTTAGAGAATTATTTAAACCCTTACCCAAAACTCTGATTTATTTAAATGTTTTTCTTTGAAAAATTCATTTCAAATGGTTTTCTTAATTTTTACCTAAAAATTAAGTGGAGACTCTCAAATTAAATATTTTCCAAAACACTTAACAAAAATTGTCAAAGTTGCGAAATCGACTTTGAAACTCTTCAGTTTTCGAAATCTACTCGTAACAATTTATTATTATTATTATTATTATTAAATAATAATAATAATAATAATAATAATAATAATAATAATAATAATAATGAGAAAGAAGAATAATCTTAAATATTTTAGCTAAGGTAAAATAAGAGTTCAAAAGAATTTAAACACTAAACACGTGTACAATCATTCACTTTATAAAAAGATAAAAGATAATAGAAAAATAAATTACTACAGTTAGGCAAAAGTATTCATTACCAGCTAAACTTGAACAATATTTTGGTGTATACCTAAATAATATTTTGTTTTAATTACCCCTCAAACTTGTTTAATCCACCATCGTGTATACATTTTTCGTTCACTGCTTCTATTGTGACTACACGCGCAGGTCAACTGACAAAAGTGGTGATAATGTGGATTTTCACCTGGATAAATAACAGCCACCTAAATAAATTAAAATGGCAAAAAAAATATCATATTCCAACAACTCTGCAAAAAAACTCTGTTCTTCCATGGCGAAACATACCAATCATGAAGTTGTCATAGTAATGGTTCCACCACCAGCATAAGACCATTTAAACCAACTCCTCCACCTCTCCCGCCTCATCTCCGCCTATCACCTCCCACTCCACTTCGCCGGAACCATCGTCTACCACCGTCAAGCAAAATATCGCATCCATGGCTAGAATCCACTCTCCACCTCACCGTCAAATTCCATGAATTTCCAATCCCAAAATACGAAACTCAACCACCAAATTTTCCTTCCAATTGATGCCTTCTTTCCATACCACGAGTCATCTTCGTCAGTCGATTACTTCTCTTTTACAATAACTATCCAAAAATTATAGTGATTGTAATTTACAATTCTTTAATAGATTGGGTCTTCAAGATACTCATGCTATACCAAATGTTGAGTGAATTAGCAACTGGGTTGGAGAAAAGTGAGGAAAAAATCATATGGGTAATAAGGGAAGCTTCAAATTCAGGGGTAATGAATACTTTTGTCAATATAAAAGAATGGAGATTTTTCATTTTCTTAAAATCGTTGTAGCTTTATGACGTGGTAAAAAATCACTCTCTCATGCGCCTAGTCTAGTGTGATTTCAATTTTTACGCGGGAGAGGGGGGGTAATTCAAACCAAATAAAGTTTAGGTGTGCACCGAATAAAAAACTTCAAGTTTAGAGGTAATGAATATTTTTGCCTTCTCATTATCATTAAAAGAATCTTAAAAATTGACATGTGGCAATAAAAACTTTATTAAAAATGAAAAATTGAGAAATTTAGTGGGACTGACGTATGTCACTTTCTCTTTTCTATTTATATATAAACTAAACACGGGTATTTTAAATGTCATCATTTTCAAAATAAAGTAATTTTACAAAATTTATTATTCACTCATCAAAAAAATTAAAAAATACTTATAATAATAGACTATTTATAATAAGCTATTACTAATTATATGATCAGGATAAATTATTTTACTAAACTTTATTTTGTTATAATATTATTCTAGAGAAAATGCATAAAGTCATCAATGATGTTGTTCCATATTTGCATAAAGACATTTTAATTTTGGAAGTGTCCTAGTACTCCCTGAAACTATCTAAATCCATAATTTGCTACTCAAACATGCATAAGTCCGTTCATATGTTTAATACCGATGCAACCAATCATTTATTATCTTACAAACTCATACCTTGAAAAAAACATATCACCAAGAATGCAGACTTATAATGAAAAGTTTGAATTTTATGTCCAATTGTGTAACCCAATACCCTTATGTATCTACATTTGCTTATACTTTGAAGACTTTTATAATTATCTTATCTTAGTTTATCATTGATTGCCTCTCCATCAACCATACCGTATGCTTCACTAAAAATCCAACCCTACTCATTTGTAAATTTAACAATAGAACAAAACTTACCATCTCACTCAAGCTGAACGTCTATACACTCCTCTCTTAAGTTCTATTCAATAGCTTTTAACCAAGCTGATTAACCTGTTATGTTATTACCTTACCAAAACAAAATAGATAAAATTATGCATTTCTGAACCCAATTCTCAACCCCTTCGAAGATACATTTTAGTTCTTACAATCAGAGAAAATATTCCTTCTCTCACTTATTTTATTAAGGCTACACATCCCACAAGTTTTATCCTATTTTAATTATGATTCCAGCTCCTTTAAATTCTATTCGAGCGTTGACCCAACAGCTCTTAAAACATGTCATACACCCACATTACTGACAAAATAGTAGAAAATCACAACCTTAGATACTCGCAAGTCTTTATTACATACAAAATTTATTTAACCAACAAATTCTAATCATATAATTTCATCCTAATTACAATTTCTCACGAATTTTTATTTTCCATCATGCTCAGTTAACCCTTTATCACCATGAAGTGAACCTTTTCCTCGATCTAACACCTTAAACTTAGGTGTACCAATCAAATTCAAGGGACTAACCCAATTTATATGCACCTTCTTGCTAAATATTCAATTTACTTAACCCAAGTATATCCACTAGGACTTTTATAAGTTTATCATTTTAGTATCAATCTACCTTTTGAAGCTTACGATAAAATCGTCAGTACTCATTCAGAACCCTCAAGATACATTTCACAACCTAAATGTATTAATATTGTACCAAAGATCCACCACTAAAATTTTCCTTTAAAATAATGCTCAATCTAAGTTCATGTAGTAATAAACTAGTTGGTTTCTCAAATGTGAATGCAACACTAAATCTTATTATCTGACCATGTCATACAACTTGTAACTCCTTTAGTAATTAGTATTCATACTTGACAATCGACGTACTTGTTTCCATATAACCCTAGTACTGCCACACCTTGAAAGTCTGTTAGGTACCTTACTAGAACACATCATACCTTCATAATATCGTACCCAAATAGCCCACATATTTCTACCCATTGAATAATTGCAAAACATTATTGAATTTGTTGTCTCTCTAGACCAAACAATTTGTTTTACTTCTTAGATCAATTTAATAACAAAAATAACATACTTCCTAACTATAAACAAGTAAGCATCGATGACTTTCTCTAATATACCCTCACTCTATGGAGTCATAGTAGTGTCTTTATTAATCGACACTCGACATGAGACTACCACAACATTTTGTAATCGAGAAAATATATCTATTCCAAAGGACACATTTTTATTTTATTTTTTTCTGTTGTTGCTATTTCAACTACTAATACTCTAGTAGATCACATATTTGAAATAGAGTAAAGAAGTTCAGATACCAATTTGTATCACCTATGTACCAATTGGATTTAAGTAGTAGCACGAAAGAAAGAAAGAAATGAGCTTTCCTAAAGTCCTATAGCTTCTCGAAGAAAATTAAAGGTGTCCCCTTACTGTTCCCCAAGACTCTACTAGACTTGTGTCAAGACCCAAATCGAGCCGCGACTGGCACCCACACTTACCCTCTTATGTGAGCGAACCAATCAATACAAATCCCAACATTTCAATATAATAGCACAATATAATGCGAAAGACTTAAACTCATTAACGAAATCAATTAACAACTTCTAAAATTTATCAATTAATATCCCCAAAATCTGGAAGTCATCATCACAAGAACATCTATCCTCAAATTACTAAGACTAAGAGTATCTAAGAACCTAAAATAAGTAAAAGATAGTCCATGCCAGAAGTTCAAGGCATCAAGACATGAAGAGGAAGACCCAGTCCAAGCTAGAAGCATTAGCTAACCCTGAAATCCGGTGTAATGAAGACTAGCTAGAGTTGCGGTTGAGTTGAACCCGACGGTACGTTTGCTGCACTCCACAAATAACAAGAGAAAAACATAAAAGTAGGGGTCAGTACAAAACACGGGTACTGAATAGATATCATCGGCCAACTCAAAATAGAAAACAGTATATATCAGATCATACCATAAATCACTACAATACTTAATTTGTAGAAACAACATGCACACGAATCTTTGATAAATAACGTCAAGTACACTCATGAGGACTCAAGCCTCCACGTCATACTCATTTCGGAATTAGGTTCATTAAATTGAGTATATTAGAATCTTCCAACATTCATTATCTTTATTCCTCTCGTGTCGGTACGTGACACTCCGATCCTCATCATACTATCCTGGTGTCGGAACGTGACACTCCGATCCCCTAATACTATGTGTCGGAACGTGACACTCTGATCCCTTAATTCTACGTGTCGGTTCGTGACACCCGATCCCCTAATTCTACGTGTCGGTTCGTGACACTCGATCCCCTATATCTATGTGTCGGAACGTGACACTCCGATCCCCTAATTCTACGTATCAGTTCGTGACACCCCGATCCCCTAATTCTGCGTGTCGGTTCGTGACACCCGATCCCCTAATTCTACGTGTCAGTTCGTGACACCCGATCCACTAATATCATTCTATTAATTCATCGAGCCTTTTCTTATACCAAGGCATCATCATCTCATTACTTTAGTTCATCAAGCCTTCTTTTATACCAAGGCATCATCGTCTCATTACTTTAGTTCATCAAGCCTTCTTTAATATCAAGGCATCATCATTAACAAGGGGTTTTCAAGATTTGGGATTCAATAGCTTAATCATGCTTAGTTCATCACAATTGTATAATCACATTCATGCAAGCATACAATTAAGCACATAGAAGGGTTTACAATACTATCCAATACATATCATTCACTATTAAGAGTTTACTATGAGAAGCATAAAAACCATAACCTACCTCCACCGAAGATTAGTAATCAAGCAAGCAAGTTCCCAAAGCATTGTTCTTCTTCTCGTTTCTCCTCTTTCTCGTTCGATCCTCTCTCTCTCTTTTTCTGTTCTTTTCTTTCTCTTATTCAAACCCTCTTTCTTTTACCCTAATTAACATATAATTAAGTATGAAAGATGATGAATTCAACCCATTAATTAATTCAAGGTTATCTCTTTTAACCCTCAAGTAGTTAAATTATTAACATTAACCCACTAAATTTATAATTATAGCAGGAATAGTCCAAAACGCCCCCTTAAAACAGTTAAAGAAATCCGACTCAGCCTGGGATTACGCAGTCTGTGACGGGCCGTCGTGCCTGCGACGGTCCGTCCTGCTGGGTCGTCACAGAGTTCAGAGACTAATTTTTGTGGAAGATGTGTGACGGTCCATCGTGCCCACGACGGTCCGTCCTGCCATTCCGTTACGAAGTTCATAGAGTCAATTTCAGTACCCAAATTTCAGAATTCTAAGTGTTTTGGAACGAGACCCCCTCGACGGTCCGTCGTGCCCATGACGGTCCGTCGTGGGATCAGTCGTCTCAGCCAGTTTTTCCAGAAATAAAATCTGCTGCTCAAAACGACTAAATAAGTCGTTACAATAGGTACCAATTTACCCATCGTTCGTCCCCGAACGATCACAAGAAGAAAAACAAGGGCGAAAAGAAGTACCTGAATCTGTAAACAGGTGTGGGTATCTTTCTTGCATATCAGCCTCTTTCTCCCAAGTGGCTTCTTCAACGGGTCGATTCTTCCATTGAACTTTGATGGATGCAATCTCCCTTGATCTCAACTTGCGAACTTCTCTACCCAAAATAGCAACAGGCTCCTCTTCATAAGACAAATTTTTATCAAGCAGATTTGAATTCCAACGAATGATGTAGTTTCCATCCCCATGATATCTTTTCAACATAGACACATGAAATACCGGATGCACTCCGGACAGCCCTGGGGGCAAAGCTAATTCATAAGCCACCTCCCCTACTCGCTTAAGTACTTCAAATGGTCCAATATACCTTGGGCTTAGCTTACCTCTTTTACCAAACCGCATCACCCCTTTCATGGGCGAAACCTTCAGCAAAACTTGTTCACCCTCCATAAACTCCAAGTCTCTAACCTTTCAGTCTGCATACTCTTTCTGTCTAGTTTGAGCCGCTAGAATCTTTCCTTGAATGCATTTCACTTTATCTAACGATTCCCTCAGAAGGTCAGTACCCCGAGGTCTAACCTCAAATGAATCAAACCACCCAATGGGAGACCTACATCTTCTCCCATACAATGCCTCGAATGGGGCCATATCAATACTTGAGTGATAGCTATTGTTGTATGAGAACTCTGCTAAGGGTAAGAAGCTATCCCAATGGCCACCAAATTCTATCACACATGCACGAAGCATATCCTCCAATACTTGAATCATTCACTCAGACTGACCATCGGTCTGAAGATGGAACGCAGTACTAAGGTCCAACCTAGTACCTAATTCAGCATGCAATGTTCTCCAAAACTTAGAAGTAAACTGCGTACCTCTATCTGATATGATGGAGAGTGGAACTCCATGCAATCGAACGATTTCTGAGATATAGATTCTGGCTAACTTCTTTGCATTGTAGGTCACCTTGACCAGAATGAAGTGAGCAGACTTAGTTAACCTATCAACGATTAGCCAAATTGAGTCAAATTTCCCCAATGTCTTTGGAAGACCAACAACGTAGTCCATTGCAATTCTCTCCCACTTCCATTCAGGGATGGGCATTCTCTGAAGTGTTCCTCCGGGCCTCTGGTGTTCATACTTTACTTGCTGACAATTTGAACATTTGGCAACAAAATCAACAATGTCGCGCTTCATTCTACTTCACAAAAAGTGTTGCTTTAGGTCACGATACATCTTGGTTGCACCAGGATGTATAGAATATTAAAACTATGAGCCTCTGTAAGAATAGTGTGGATAAAATCATCAACACGGGGCACACATACCCTTCCCTTAATTCTCAAAATACCTTCCTCATCGATTTGTGCTTCCTTAGCCTCTCCTCGAAATACTGTATCTCGGATTCTGCTTAGTTTCTCATCATCAAAAAAGTTTTCCCTTGATCTTGTCAAGAGTAGAAGATCTCGCCTCCACACCGGCCAAAAATCCTCCCTTCTCATTCACTTCTAACCTCATAAAGTCGTTAGCCAGAGTCTGAACCTCTCTAGCCAATGGACGTCTAGAAACTTGCAAGTGGGCTAGACTTCCCATGCTCCCTGCCTTTCTACT